TAGAGCTTGAAGTCCGGAATTGTGAGGCCACCAGCTTTGGTTTTCTTTTTCAGTATTCCTTTGGCTATTCGGGGTCTTTTCTGGTTCCATACAAATTTTAGGATTATTTGTTCCAGCTGTGTGAAATATGTTGATTTCCAGAGCAGCTGTAGCTACTTAACATATCACCTCACTAGCTTGTATCGTCTCATATAATACAGAGAAGAGTTTGTGGGAAATGAAAGGTGTGTCCCAAATGAAATCATACATAGGGTTATCAGTTAATATGTTGTGGTATGGTTAGTCTCTTCTCGATTCCCAATGGGTTTCTATTCTAGAATGTTGAAGTTTATGTGATTAAAGGAAAGTATACTGTTATTATTACCATCAAGGTCCTTGTTTTGAAGGAGTTGCTAATATTATGCCCTACTATTCTTTTAAAAAGTTACTAAGTTAAATTGGAAAAATTGGAAGTGAAGGTTACTGATGGGAAATTATAATGATAATAATAGTAAGAGCAAACAGTTTTGTTTTGCTTGCTCTTGGCCACATGTTATTCTAAATGCTTTACCTATATTAACTCCTTTAATCTGCACAACAACCCTCTCATGTAGGCTTTATGACTATCCTCATTTTATACATAGGAAACTTAAGCACAGTGAGGTGAGCGGCCTGTCTGAGGTCACACAAAGTGTAAGCAGAGGGGCCAGGATTCAAACCCAGGCAACCATGCTCTCAGTCCTGCAGTGGCACAGCATAGCACGAGGTGCCCAAGAATCGAGTGCAAAGGCTGTAAAGTCGAGGCAATAGAAACCTCACTTTGTTTTAAAATCGAAGTAAATTGACATACAAGGTTATACTAGTTTCAGGTATACATGGAAGCCTCACTTTTTAGAACAAAGATCAAGTATGTAATCCTCTGTTTCAGGTGAAGAGTCTGAGGATGACTCTGATTTTAATGAGAGTGAAGACGATGACGAAGACTTCACTATGGGAAAAAATAAAGTGAAAGAAATTAAGAAGAAAGAAGTGAAGGTAAAATCCCCCGTTGAAAAGAAGGAGAAGAAACCTAAATCCAAGTGTGATACTTTGGGTAAGCCTAGTCCAAAACACTTAATTTTATAAAGGGAATGTATTTGGTTTATTTAGTGTGTTTTTCTTCTCTCTGCCTTTGTTCTCCCTAACATTTTGCCAGTGTTCACTTCTAGCTAAGATACACAGAAGGAAGGGGGTGGTGGGGAAGGGAGAAAAGCAGCTGAGAGTTCTGAGCCCCACTGCCTGTGGACCTCTTGCTAGAATTTCCCTCCTGCAGCACTGACGGCCCCCCTCCGAGACAGCTAGGGTCACCTGCATTTTACGGTGAGAAAACTGAGGCTCAGGTTAAAGAATTTGTTGGAATTCTTCCAGCTAATTATGTGAGCTGCTGGAATTTGCACCCAGGTTTGTCCATTTAGAGCCCAAGCTCTAGCCACTGGACCACATTTTTTCCAGACAACGAACAGGGAAGTTTGCATGATTCTCATTTCTTGCTTTCAATCTTGACTTAGTCTTTGATTTGAGATCCCTCTTGCCACATGTTTTGGGCTTCTTTGGTTTTCCTTCCTTCCTTTTTTTTTTTTTTTTTAAAGATTTCATTTATTTATTTGAGAGAGCAAGAGCACAAGCTGGGGGAGCAGCAGAGGGAAAGGGAGAAGTAGGCTCCCCACTGAGCAGGGAGCCTGACGCAGGGCTTAGCCCCAGACCCTGAGATCACGACCTGAGCTTTTTACTAGTCTAGTGACTGAACTCTATTAGAGTCTAGGTTCCTTGGGAACAAGATCCATGAGCTATACTCTTTGTAACCCTAGAGCCTAATATATTGTCTCATTGACATGTACTGATGAGACACTGTTATGTCATGGCTACAGGTATAGACTTTGGACCTGGTTCCTAATCCTGGCTCAGGTACTTATCAGCTATCAGACTACAGGCAGATTGCTTAGCCTGTTTCCTTATCTGATAGTGTGGATAGCAATATCTGTATCAGAGTTGCTCTGAGAGTTAAAGGTAGTGTGTGTGGAATGCTTACCATACTGCCTTGCCTACAAATGCTCGTAAAAATGGCTATTCTTAGGCTCTCAGTGAATGTTTGTGTATAATAAGAATTTTCCGAATTTATGATATTGCCTTTTTAATTTTTATAAGATTATGTAAGTTTATAATTTTTACACCTATGTGCTAGACTTAATCTTCCTCTGTGAAAAACCTTTTCTATGTATATTTTTTAAAAATTTTATTTAAATTCAGTTAATTAACATAGAGTATATTACTAGTTTTGGAGGTAGAGTTCAGTGATTCATCAGTTGTATATAACACCCAGTGCTCATTACTTTCTCTCTCTCTCTCTCTCTATTTTTTTTAAAGTGACTTCAGGAGACTCTGTTCCAGCTGCTGTGAAATCAGAATCTCAGCCTTCACCAAAAAAGGTTTCTCTTTCTTCAGAGGCCACTAGGAAATCATTACAAATACGCAGCCCTTCAGCTGAAAGCAGAAAACCTAAGTGGATCCCACCAGGTATGGCATATTTATTGATCAAGGGCAGGGGCTTGGAAAATTATCACTGGCAGATGTTTTTCCCTAGTTGTAAATGTTAACACCATATTATTACGTACTCTTCAAAACCAAGGTTTTTAATTGCTGCATTTATTCATCATATGTCATTCCCTTATACTTACATGCTTATACTGAGCATCTAGATTGTTTCTTATTTTCTCAGTGTCATAAATAAGGTTGCAATAAGCACAAACGTCCTTATTTTAGAAATCTGTGGGCACATCCTTGATTATTTTCTTAGGACAAATTCCTAGTGGTGGAATTACAGTGTCAAAGAGTGTTAACATTTAACATTCCTGATATTTATTTTTGGCAACAAATCGGTTTGCTCAAGACCCGCTGGTCACAGTCTGACTGAAACCTCGGGACCTGTACACAGGGCTTCCAGCATTTAACAAATGCCCTCGCAGGCTTGACTTCTCTTCCTTTGTTTTTGCTCCACAGCCAAGCCTCACTGATCCTTTAAGAATTCTTTGACCTTCACTTATCTTGACATTACCAAAAACCTAGTCCAGGCCCTGTTCATTTCATGCCCCAAAGCACCTGTGGCTTCCTAACTAGTCCTTTATCCACTTCCTCTCACCCAACCACATGAACCCTCTAGTCCAGGGAGATTGATACCGTTTTTCTTCCTTAAACACAATGTGTGTCGTCTTCTGTCAGAGCCTCTCTCTGTCCACTTTCCTCCCTCTGGTATGTCTCTCATTTGTCCCTTCTTCTCTAAGTCATTTCAAATCTACTCAGGTTTGGTTTACTTCTTTTCACTGACATTTCTTGATTGGTCCACAGTGGTCACCCCCTGATAACTAGGTATTAATAGACAGATTTCAGTCTGAGTCAGTATTTTTGTATTGCTCCCTGATGTTTATAGCAGCACTATCCACAATAGCCAAATTACAGAAAGAGCCCAGATACCCATCAACTGATGAATGGTTAAAGAAGATGTGGTATATATATATACAATGGAATATTACTCAACCATCCAAAAGAATGAAATCTTGCCATTTGGATGGAACTAGAGGGTATTATGCTAAACAAAATAAGTCAGTGAGGGAAAGACAAATACCATATGATCTCACTCATATGTGGAATTTAAGAAACAAAACAGAAGAACATCGGGGAAGCAAAAAAAAGAGGAAGGCATACCATAAGAGACTCTTAACTATAGAGAACAAACTGAGGGTTGCTGGAAGGGAGATGGGTAGGGGGATGGAGTAATAGGTGTTGGGCATCAAGGAGGGCATTTGTTGTGAGGAGCACTGGGTGTTATATGTAAGTGATGAATCCACTCAATTCTACTCCTGAAACTAATATTACATTATGTGTTACTAGAATTTAAATAAAACTTGAAATATAAATAAAAAGCATTATTAAAAAAAGATGGCAGTCTGAAACTGCATGATTACTTAATGTCTCTTAATTACTTCATCTTGTAAAATATCAGGCACATATTGATTCAACAATTCCACACACTACTAAGTGCTCACCATGATAAGCATAGTCACCATCTGTCCCCATACAACGTTATTACAATATTATTGACTATATTCCCTATGCTGGACTTTTCATCTCCGTGACTTATTTATTTCATAACTGGAAGTTTGTACGTCTTAACCCCTTTATCCCCCTTATCTGTTTCACCCATCCACTCCCACCCCCAATCAGAGAAGGACAAATACCATATAATGTCACTTAAATAAACGTATAAATAAAAAGAATATTTGTCATGTTTACAATAATTTAATATTTGAAAAAATAGATTCAAGGAGTATTTGTAAAAATTGAAGCATTTTCAAAAAATGCATTGGATTTTTCTGCTACTTTAGAAATTATAACCGCATGCAGTTCTTCATGCCTTTAAAACCAATGTTACTTGCTCCCAACTTACCTGTTTCAGCTTTTGTGCTTAAAGTTTTGGTGCCATTAACTTGCCTTCTGAACATTGTTTGAAAATAGGCAGTACTGTATTCTTTCTGCCCTTTAATACTGTTCATTCTTTTGATCTTGTTTATGGCTTGATAGAACTTACATACCACAGTAATCCGCACCTGCTTTTCTTTTTGCATCTTCTGTCTTAGAAGTTGATCTTTGTTAAGAGATTTCAAACATCGCCAGCAGCAGGTGCTATGCTTTCTTTCAGCGGAATCTGGAAGCAGCGGCTGCAGCAGGAGGAAGAGCCCCCTGGCAGGGGTGTCTGTTAAGTCTCCAAGTCAGAGTCTCCGCCTTGGCTTGTCCAGATTAGCACGAGTTAAACCTTTGCATCCAAGCGCCGCTAGCATCTGAGTGTGGTGGTAAACAAATGTTTGATTAAGAGAATCAGAATTTTACAAGTGTGTTTATATTTGAAGTGTGTTTCTATTTAAGGAGGGCATCATAATATAAAGGAATCCTTTAAGGTTATGTGAATTGCCTCTACCTATTTTGTGATGATGTTCTCTGAAGCTGTTCAAGACTTCAAGAAGAGGATTGTTTATAAGAATTATTTTGTGATGTCATTTCCTTCTGAAGAACGTGTTCTCTTTTTCCTGTGTGTAGTAAGTCATTGTCATTAAGTGGTTGTCTGTTTGGGAGGAAGTCCATGTTGCATACTGTTCTAAGAAGATGATGTTGCTTTCCAGCTTTGTCTGATTTATGGCACCTTAACTTTCACTGTTGTGGCTTTATCTGGCAAAAGGAAACATGCCCATTTTTTCCAGGAGACATTTCTGAAATCTTAACTTAGGTTGTGTTGTCAGTTTTACTGCAAAGATGTTTCATATTTTAGCCAAATATTTTTATAGTAAGAATTCAGAATTATTTTACACATTAAAATGGTTACTATAATATGGCATATGTCTCGTACTCAGAAATAGATGTTTATTATATAGCAAATAGAATTTCATGAGATTTTATGAAGCTCTCATTGCCAAAACCTTTAATAAAAGTGGAAGAGTCTTGATATACTCTTTTCCTTCATACCATTACATCCATCTATTTCTGATTGTCTACATTTCACGATTAAATGAATGTTTTGCAAAAAAAAAAAAAAATGTTAGTCTTTTTGTTGTAAGTATAAGGGTGGGGGAGAGCTGTTTCTTAGAATAATCACTTTGTGAAGCCAGTGATTAGAGGGTGGCTGTCAAGTACTTAGTCATCCCTATTATGATATTAGATAATACAGCTTTTCAGGAAGCTTAATGTGAATTTGTTATGAATAAAAATAGTTGTAGATATTTCACATTTTATGGTGAGAATTTCAACCAGCTCCTGATCACTTTTTAATAAAAACTCTTCAAATCATGTTAACCATTAGGGGCGCCTGGGTGCCTCAGTTGGTTAAGTGTCTGACTCTTGGTTTCGGCTCAGGTCATGATCTCGGAGTTGTGGGTTTGAGCTCCATGCTGAGCACAGAATCTCTCGAGATTCTCTCCTCTCCCTCTCCCTTCATCTCTGCTCCTCCTTCCTCCTCAAAGTCTCTCTCTTTTTCTTGCTCATCATGTTAACCATTAAAACATATAATATTATTGGTTCAGTTTTTCTTGGTTTATAGAAACATCTATGTTAATGTGAAAATAAGGAATTTAGAAAAATGATTAAAGTGAGCATTTGCAGGGGCAGCTGGGTGGCTCAGTCATTAAGCGTCTGCCTTCGGCTCAGGTCATGGTCCCAGGATCCTGGGCTCGAGCTCCGTGTCGGGCTCCTTGCTCAGTGGGGAGTCTGACCCTCCCCCCTGCTCATGCTCTGTGTCTCTCTCTTTCTCTCTCAAATAAATAAAATCTTTAAAAAAAAAGTGAGCATTTGCTTATTGCTATTGTACATTTTTTTCTGTGTATATTTGTATACTGTTGTATACCACCTCACCTACCCCACTGCATCCCCTTCTTAAAACATGTATTCAGTTACAAGGTATTAAGGTGCTCTATATGGTGCAGTTCAACAGTAAACATTTATTAAGAGCCTACCCTGTATTAGGTACTGCTATCACTGATTAATCATCTGGCACCAGCCTGATGAACCTGTTTCCTCTGTGTTATTTAAAGTAAGTTTGGGGCACCTGCGTGGCTCATTGGGTTAAGAATCCAACTCCTGATTTCGGCTCAGGTCATGGTCTTGCATTGGGCTTGCACTCAGCCAAGAGTCTGCTTGGGATTCTCTCTTGCTCCCCCTCCCCCACTCATGCTTGCTCTCTCTCTCTCTCTCTCTCAAATAAATAAAATCTTTAAAAAAGTAATAGCTTATACTGAAAATTACCTTAAATTATGCTAAAACTGGCCTTGCAGAAAGCACTAATGACCTTTCTGTTGTCAAATCCAGTGTACAGTTTTCTCACCTAATCTTATAGACCCTATTCATCATAACCTACCTATTAATACATTTTATTTCCTGGGCTCACATGACACTATTCTTTTGTAGTTTTCTCCCCATATCCCTGCCTGCTCTTCATTATTTTGCAGACTTACAATCTTGTGTCACCTACATCCACTCTTTCCACCATAGTGCCCTATTCTGTGTGATTCCATTCTTTTCCCCTGCCCCCCCCCCCTTTTTTAAGCTTAGGTGACTTCAAGCTCCAGTGGTCACCTATGTGACAATGACTGCCAAGTCAGGATTTTTTTAGCCCAGATCTTGCTCTGTGCAAGAGCCTGTTTCATTGATAATCTGATGCATTAAGTCACCAGTAAATCAGTAATATCCTCCCTATCCTCCGTGTTTCCCCTCCTAGATTTTCTGTTAGTAAATGGCACCACTATCAACTGGAGGGCCTGGGGCACTTCTGCCCTTCACATCCAGTTACTGAGCTCTCTTCCATTTTGTAAATTGCTCAGAACTGTTTTTCCACCTGCTGTCCCTTACTCTGAAACATCACTCACTATTAATAGGCATCCTTGCCTTGATTCTTTTTTTTAAAATTTTTTATTGTTATGTTAATCACCATACATTACATCATTAGTTTTGATGTAGTGTTCCATGATTCATTGTTTGTGCATAACACCCAATGCTCCATGCAGAACGTGCGCTCTTTAATACCCATCACCAGGCTAACCCATCCTCCCACCCCCCTCCCCTCTAGAACCTTCAGTTTGTTTTTCAGAGTCCAACGTCTCTCATGGTTCGTCTCTCCCTCCGATGTCCCCCCCCTCATTCTTCCCCTCCTGCTATCTTCTTCTTCTTTTTTTTTCTTAACATATATTGCATTATTTGTTTCAGAGGTACAGATCTGTGATTCAATAGTCTTGCACAATTCACAGTGCTCACCATAGCACATACCCTCCCCAGTGTCTATCACCCAGCCACCCCATCTCTCCCACCCCACCACCCCCTCCAGCAACCCTCAGTTTATTTCCTGAGATTAAGAATTCCTCATATCAGTGAGGTCATATGATACATGTCTTTCTCTGATTGACTTATTTCGCTCAGCATAACACCCTCCAGTTGCATCCACGTCGTTGCAAATGGCAAGATCTCATTCCTTTTGATGGCTGCATAATATTCCATTGTATATATATATCACATCTTTATCCATTCATCTGTCGATGGACATCTTCTTGCCTTGATTCTTAACCTACTCTGGCCTACCCTCCATACCATATTGCCAGAAAGTTTTCTAAAATCTGAGCATGAACACCCCTCTGCTTAAAATCCACATACATATACCCTAGCCTGCTTAGTTCATGAGATATTTCAAATCTGGCTGTCTCCTGTCTGCTTCTTCAACCTGGTCTCATGCTGTCCCCTATGCACTTTTGACTCTTGCCTCACCCAACAGGCTGACACCCGTGATACCATGTGGTCCCCTAGCTCAAGGCCTTTACATGGGCTCTTAACTGCCTGCTTTATGTTGCTAATTCCTATTTGGCCTTGAAGACTCAAATTCAACTCATCTCTCTAAAAGCTTTTTTTGAATGTCTGTTTCCTCAGACCAGACCATATTCCTCCAGGTCACGCCGCTACTGTCATTCAGCTAGAACTTTTCTTAGTTTTCATGCATTTAAAACCTGGTGCAGAGCCAATGCTCAAAAAGTGCTCATCTGATGAATACTTTATATCTGGAACTTTTGCCGTGAGCTTCCGGGAACCACAAACTTTTTGGAAGAGGGACAAAGTAGGAACAATTTCATGAGCCCGGGCAGTTCGGTGAACTCTAATCTGCCCATCCTTGGGATGTCCAATTCTACCTGAGGCGAGAGAATGGGAGTAGGGGGGAAAGAGAAGTATTCTTTAGGCAGATGTGAACGGTGGTTTGGGACGGGAACAAAGTCTAAGTTCTTTCCGCGGCCGGAGTCACAAAAAGGGCGGCCAGAGTTTCTATAGCTACGGGAGGAGGGCGTGGTCCCGGGCCGGCGCGGGCAGGGTGTGGGAGCAAGCGCCCCGCAGCGGCCGCCGGGCAGCGTGCGCCAGCCCCAGGCAGCTCTTGCCACCACCTGCCGGCGCCCGGACCGAGTAAGGCAGCGCGCAGCGCCAGCGGGGAGGAAGGGACCGCGGTGGGGCAGAAGCATCTGGGGCAACGGGGGAAGAAGGCTGGGGAAGCGGGGAGAAGGGAGGTGCAGAGAATGCGAAACAGCAGGCGGAGTGTGGTCGGAGGAGAGAGAGGCGCGGGGTGTGAGCGCGGACGGGAGAAGTGCTCCGAACCGCCGCATCCTCACAAACTGACATCCATGTAGTTTGCTCCTAACAGAAAGTTGCGTCGCAGACCTTGGCTGAGTGCGGGCTGGGGAGAGATGGATTTTAGGAAACTCATAAGACCTCTCCTGAAATTGCTTCCAGCCCTGACCCCGACAACGTGGGGCGCAAAACTTTCCTCCTCCTTTATCTTCAGGGCGTGGCTGGTCCTTTTGGAGGTCAGAAGTGAGCCCACAACCCCACGCCTCACGTGGATGTCCTAGGATGTGGCTGATACCAGCCTATCTTGGCCCAGCCGATCTGCTTGCAGCCTCCATGCTCAAGCAGAGCCCAATGCAGGACTGCTTTAAGCTGTGTGTGGATCGATCGTAGGTACATCCAGAGCATCACTTTTCCTCTGGGTGGTACTTGCCACTCTAGGGTAATGCTCGTCCTAGCAAATATTTTACTTAAAAGGGGAATGAACAATGCAAAATTTGGATTTTTTTTTTTTTAATCTGTAGTTGATTTGTGGTACTTGCTACGTTTGAAACGTCCATCAGCCAATTCAGGGTGTAAGTAACTTGTGACCCCTCTGATTTGTTTTAAATGGCTGATGGTCCACAATCTTAACTCAAGCTTCACTGTTCAGGCTTCAGTGGAGACCTGGCAAAGGTGCAAGGCCATTTATAGAAAGTTCAAACTATGAAAGGACAAATGTGTCCTTTGCTGCCAGTCTTGCTCGAGGGATTTAATTATCTACGTGTGTTAAGTATGTAAAATCTGGGAGTTTTAAGGAATTCTCCAAACCTGGATTGTGCCTAATTGGTTCTGGGACTTATGTCTTTTACTTCCCTTCTCGGTTTTAGTCCTTATCAGGAGGATAATGAGAAACCTGAAAGGAGTCTCGAGTGGTGTGCCAGCCACTCTTTGACTTTGCCTTCTCCAGCTCCGTACTGTTGTCAGGAACTTGGCTAGAATACATCCTCTGCAAACTTGTGGAGGACCCAGTGCTGGGACTCCATGGTTTTAGTTGATCCCAAATCCAACATGAGTGTGTTGTGACAGCTAAAAGGGGCAAATACTGGTGTAGACTTCATTAATAGAAATATAGTGACCAGGTGAGTGATGTAAAGATCTCGCTGGCTGATTTAGCATTGATTAGTACATAATCTAGACTCTAGAAAACGATAGCCACTTAAAACAAGGTCATAGAAAAACTAGAAAGTAGAGAGGAACAATCACAATACAAGTTCTCTCTGTCATGCCTGGATGCTCTATCCTACGAACACATGCTTGAAATAAAACTACAGAATGCCTGGAGATGAGTAGGTGCCAGGGAGGCAAGAAGACACTGTTTTGAATATTCAAGAGCTCTTGGAGTAGAAGAGAGGGTAGATGTGTTCTTTGTTGTTCTGCAGAGGATAGCAAGTATTTGTGGAGGATATGTTGCTCAGTATCATTTCTTCCCACCCACATTTGCTGAGCACCAACCATATGTATAAGCAGCCAGAGGTGAAATGGGTTGCCCAGAAAAACAGTGAGCTCTGTCACAGAAATATTCAAGCAGAGACTGAATGATTGCCAGGGATACTCTAAAGAGTGGGAAAATGGGGTGGGAAAATGGATGAATGGCCCCTAAAACCTCTTCCAGCTCTGAGAGTCCATGGACCATGAAGAGTTTCAAGGATAATTGCAGAGGGGCCAAGGAGTTTTCTTTGCAGCAGTGAGAGTAACTTAAGTACATTAAGTACATTATCTCCTATTCACAGAAATACAAAGGGAGTCCCTGCCAGTCCTACACTGCCACAATTTCTGCCCCAAACGTAGCTCTCCAAGGCATAAAGATCAAGCTACTTGACAACTGCAATAGAAATACTGAAATCATAACAGGTAAATCTCAAAAGATATATTTCCTTTCTGGGCATTGAAGATTGGTGTACATAGATAACACATTATGTGTAAAATACTATGTGTGCAGTAAGGCTGGCCCCACTGTCGATGGCTCTGTTATTCCTACCGGACCCTGAACTCTCCTTAAAAGCAAGGATTCTGTTTTCCTTATCTCTCAGGCCCCTATGCTTAATGCAGTCTCTGGCATTCAGATGGTGGTCTCAAATTTTTTGATGAATTCATCCGAACTATCTTAGTTGTCTCTTTCTCAGCACATTTGTACCAAGAGCTTTCAGTGGACAAGTCATTGTCCTTGTCCGAAGGAGGAATGTAAGGAATAAAATAAAATCCGAGCTCATCATTCTTGCCTCCAAGAGATTCACAATCAAGATGAGATGAAATGTATGCCCCTAAAATAATTAAAACTCAAGTTGTTGACCAAGTGACAAAATGATCTCCACATACAAGAGTGCTGAAATCCAGAGGAAGGCGATGGGTCTAAGCTGGAGAGGTAGGGAAACTGATCTCCGTGTAAAATAATAGGAGGAAATTTTAAATTTTAGTTTCAGTTCTCAAAGCCATATTCATTCTAGCTCTGAGATGAGTTTGTTATCTTTGACCCTTCATGCAATAGTTATAAACAAATATAAAACATTCTCATAGTTCACCACTTATTTTGAGGATAAAAAGTGGCATCTGTGAAGATTTGAACATAGGTTATGTGTCATGGATTAAATTGAAGCTAGATTGAATGCATTCTTAGGAAATAAAAAAGGCACAAGATAGTCTCTGATTATCACAGAATTATCCAAAGGAGAGAACTTGTGGAATAAGGCACAACAGAACTTTTCCAATCTGGCAGTATTTAATAAAGTTAGCATCAAAGAAGCTTAGAACTGGAAGGGACATCAGAGGCCATCTAGTCCAGTCCTGTCATCTTACAAATGGGGAAACTGAGGATAGACAAGGCATATGACTTAGAATCTATCTGGGGACAGCACTGAGACTAGACTCCAAGATGCCTCAGCATCTTCTTGAGGTCTTCATGTTCTCTTCACCTACAGAGCACCAGAAACTGAATAGACGAAAAGAGCTCCACTTGCTGGGAAAGATGCATGTGGACTTGATTGTCTCCCACATCCCTGTGGAATAGATGGAGGGAGCATTTGATACAGAGCCTTGGCAGAAAGAATTGTATTCATTCTTACCCCATGTTTGGATTTTGCAACCCTCACACACATTGAATTGATGGCCAAAATTCTACCAGTTCTTTCTCCCAAATTATTCCCAAGTTCCCACTTCCACTGTGTCCTCACATGGCCTTGGTTGAGGTCCTCATCCTCTCTTGCCTAGATGCTCAAGACAGCTTCCTACTTGAGCTCCTCTGAACCTTGTTCCATGGTATTGCCAGAGAGATGATCCTAAGTACAAATCTGATTTTGTCAGATTTAGAATGAACCATGAGACCCTTTCTTTACAGTCTAACCACCTCTCTAGCCCTCTACGGTAATGTCCATGTGCTCACACTTTCTGAAGAACACAGTGCTCTTTCCTACTGTTGTGCTTGCTGTCTTGTCCATCTGCTCTTGACTCCATGCCTGTCATGTTTATTCTTCAAGGACAGCTCTACTCTGCTCAGGTGTGAAGGCTTCCTCACCCCCTGCAGTGTGCTTCATTAGCTCTTTGCACTGGCCTCTATTACTGCCCTGATCATGTGCATTGTAATGACCTGTTTCCATGTGTCTCCCTCCTAGATAATGAACTCTCCTTAAGGGCAGAGGCTGTGTCTGGTTTATCAGAAGAATTATCTCAGCAAATGTTTGTAAAAAGGAAGGAAGGGAAGAAAGAAGTGACATGATCATTTGAAGAGAAGCAACTATTACTTTTTGCTTACTTTTGCATAGGATTTTTTCATATTGTGTGTGTGTGTGTGTGTGTTAAAACTCATGTTCCCACTCACCTCCCCCAGCTCCACCCCTCAAAGGTGGTAATTATTTTTATTTTTCCTATGTTCTTCGATATACCTGATTAAGACATGCAAACATCTTGTTGTTTTCTCTCTTTTTTTAAAGATTTTATTTATTTGTTTGAGAGAAGAGAAAGAGGGAGAGAGACAGCACAATCAGGGGGAGGGGCAGAGGGAGAGATGCAGGGAACCCAATGAGCAGGGAGCTCAACTCCAGGCTCAATCCCAAGATCCCATGACCTGAGCCAAAGGCAGAAGCTCAATGGACTAAGCCACGCAGGCACCTCCACCTCGTTTTTTTCTTTTTAAAGATTTTATTTATTTATTTGACAGAGAGAGAGACACAGGAGAGAGGGAACACAAGCAGGGGGAGTGGGAGAGGGAGAAGCAGGCTTCCCGCCGAGCAGGGAGCCCGATGTGGGGCTCGATCCCAAGACCCTGGGATCATGACCTGAGCCAAAGGCAGATGCTTAACAACTGAGCCACCCAAGTGCCCCCATCTCGTTCTTTTCTTAAACAAATATGGAATCATGCATATTGTTCTGTTTTTATTCAATACATTACAGGCATACATAGAGACTTCATTTTTTAAAGTGATCACATCATAGTCTATAATACATATGTGCCATATTTTTTAACTTCTCATTATATATAGACAAGTAATTTCTGGTTTTTCAACATTATGCTGCGATAATAGTGGGCAGGACGTGTCTTGAGTTCTCTGAATAATTTCAGAATTGTGATGCTGTCACCATTTATTATAGGGTCTTTAAGAACCTACCAATGGAGTGGTTTGCAGAAGCCAGGATAACATTCGCACTGATCCCTGTTCTGTCCTTGTTCATATATCCTTGGCTCCCTTGGCTCTTATTAGAGTTAGAGGCTGAAAAGGAACTTCAAAGGGACACAAAGCAGCGTTCCAGCAGCTGTTAATGGAACGGGCGTCAGAGCCTCTAAGACTCTTCCATTTACATAAATCATCGCTTTAACCAGATTCCATAAACTTAATGCAAATTAGATTTTCGTCTTGCAGTGAGTTCATTTTTCATATAGCTCTGGTCTGAATAAAGAAGGTGCAAAAAATGGCTAAATGAGATCCAGGCAAAGCATTTCTATCCATTGTCCCTTTTCTTCTTCTGTAGGCTTTAAGCTACCGAGTAACCGCTTATATATGTATCTTTCAGAGCAAAAGGTGGTTGTGGTAAGAGAATGGTTTACTTTGCAGCGAGCTAGAGGAAATGGGTCTTTTTGTTTGGTGTCCTAAACTGCTGGCCACCTCGTTAGCTCGTTAGCTTCCTGGGCTGCTGTCTCCCTCTGCCCTGAGCACCCAAGGGCTGATGCCAAGACATCCCCTTTCCTGATATCATCTGCCACCAAGAGGGAAAAAAAAGGAGTTAGCAGAGACTCAGCCACTGTTTTTAGGCCTGCCACTTTTTTTTACAAAGTATTTTTATAAGAGAGAAAGAGCTTACACAAGCAGGGGGAGAGGCAGAGGCAGAGGGAGAGGCAGGCTTCCCACAGAGCAAGGAGCCCCACGTGGGGCTTGATCCCAGGACCCTGGGATCATGACCTGAGCTGAAGGCAGATGCTTAACCGACTGAGCCACCCAGGCACCCTAGGCCTGCCACTTTTTATCTCCAAGCCTGCCCTTCATCCTTCCCATCCCTGGGTGCAGGGGCCATTACTTATATTTTGCTCCTACTGCGAATGTACTTTTTATTCTTCCTCCTGCAGGACTAACATGGATGCTAAAAAACCAAGGAACTGCAGTTTGACATCCTTCCCAATTTTGAAAGCAAGAAAGAAACAGAATATCAACCCTGGGAAGGTAAAGATCCTTGAATTTCATTTGGGCAAGAGAGGTATCATCATGAAGATTTGGGGACCCAAGACCCAGGAGTGACCATTGTCCTCCAAGCACCTTTGATGACAGGGTGAGGGGAAGTTCTGGAGGTGTGGATGGACCAGGCTTGTTGGCAGAGCCAGGTCTGGGTGGGCTTGGAGGGACATTGGCTGCAGGGCCAGAGCGTAGTTTCATGAACTCCAGAACTGCAAGGCCTTCATCGAACAGGTGGCTTGTGTTTGAGGAGGCCCTGGACTAGCGTCTCTTCTACAGTATCTTGTATTGTGCTCTGTATTTCTGGAACCACACCAGAGGTGTCTCAGAATGGTTCCAAACATTTCCGGAAAAGGTCTGTGTGTTTGGGGTTGTTTTTTCCCCCCCCCTAACACAAACATGGTGTCTTTCTTTTTACCCAGTCTCAAAAACCAGTGAAACACCACAGCCTAAAGGTAATTGTGTGATGTGGTGACTTTGTGATCACCATCTACAAGATTACTTCTAAATGAGGTGTACTTTTTCATCTAATGCTCTCAGTTTGAATTTCACACCTGACTCAAAAGATCATATTATTTGGAACTTTGCTCTGAAAATTCTGTGGCAAACTTGAGCCCACAGCACTCAGGTTTGACTTTGAATCTTGCTTGTGTCACTGAATGGAAGAGCCAGAGTTCAACAGCCTATCCGAGGCCTGATAAAAAGTCTCCTCCCTGTAGATCACAGACCACCTCCTTAAAATTATGACTCTTAGATCACCTCCAAGCAGTGTTCCTGATTTAACCTTAGCCTTCTCTCCCTCAGGGTTATAACTCATAAAAATGAATCTTAATGCAGAGTCCACTGCCCCCTAGCCCTACCCTTGCCATTACCAGATACAATAAAAAACATTATTTTGTGATTCACAGGCACAAAAATTTATTAATTCCTAAAACATTTATTTTGACAAAGGAAATCAATATAAAATACTTAAAAGAGTAAATCTACCGCAAAACAGGATAATATAATAAAGACAACATTCTGTTCACATTTAAAAATATTATGCAAACAGGATGGTCTTGGTCATCACTTAGAAAAATCATCACAAGTTTTGCAACTTATATATAATTTTTTCTACCTGCTTGAGCTCATATTTATTGAGTGTTTGGATGACTCTCACATGAACTTTAGAGGCAAGTACAATTATTATCCTCGTTTTACAGATGGGAAAACTGAGATTCAAGTGGAGTTAACCAGCCATTGCTGTAAACCATCGCGTGGCAGACAGAATGCAAACCCATATTCTTTTTTTTACCTTTTTTTTTATTATGTTATGTTAATCACCATACATTACATCATTAGTAGTGTTCCATGATTCATTGTTTGTGCATAACACCCAGTGCTCCATGCAGAATGTGCCCTCCTCAATACCCACCACCAGGCTAACCCATCCCCCCACCCCCCTCCCCTCTAGAACCCTCAGTTTGTTTCTCAGAGTCCATAGTCTCTCATGGTTCATCTCCCCCTCCGATTTCCCCCCTTCATTCTTCCCCTCCTGCTATCTTCTTCTTCTTCTTCTTCTTTTTTTTTTTAACATATAATGTATTATTTGTTTCAGAGGTACAGGTCTGTGATTCATGAGTCTTACACAATTCACAGAGCTCACCATAGCACATACCCTCCCCAATGTCTATCACCCAGCCACCCCATCCCTCCCACCTCCCACCACTCCAGCAACCCTCAGTTTGTTTCCTGCGATTAAGAATTCCTCATATCAGTGAGGTCATATGATACATGTCTTTCTCTGATTGACTTATTTCGCTCAGCATAATACCCTCCAGTTCCATCCACGTCATTGCAAATGGCAAGATCTCATTCCTTTTGATGGGTGCATAATATTCTATTGTGTATATATATATATATATATACCACATCTTCTTTATCCATTCATCTGTCGATGGACATCTTGGCTCTTTCCATAGTTTGGCTATTGTGCAAACCCATATTCTTAACCCCTCTGTTCCATGCCTCTTTGCTGAGTAATGTCAACTCTGTTAAAAGGTGTCCTATAAAATTCTGTAATATATTTATATTAATTTTAAGGAAAGCATATTCTTCTATAGTTGCTATGATAGGAATGGTTAAAAATAAAATAAAAAAATCACATTGAGGACAAATTCACTGATCCTGTATTTTTTTGTAACTGCCAACAATTGACAATACCATTTAAAAATACTATCTAGGGGCACCTGGTGGCTCATTTGGTTAAGCGTCCGATGCTTGGTTTCAGCTCAGGTCATGATCTCAGGGTCATGGGATCAAGCCCCTCATCAGGCTCTGCCCTTAGAGGGGAGTCTGCTTGAGCTACTCCTTCTCCCTCTCTCTCTGCCTCTCCCCAGTTCATGCATGCATGTGCATGCACTCTCTCTCTCAAAATAAATCTTTAAAAAAATAAAAATAACAAAAATACTATCTAAATTTACTGCTATTGTCTTTACATCGGTAATTATTCTTATGGGCCCTAAATAAATGTCTTTTCACCATTTGTTCATTTTTTTCCAATGGACTTCTCATCCAGTTGAGCTGAATAGGCCCAAGTAGGGAAAAGCAAACAAGTCAATAACCATTCTCAGCACATGAAACCTTGGGTTTCAGTGGATAGTTATGATATTAATTGGAGGATGAAAAGAATGAATTGTAATCTCTTCACCTTAAAAAACACTGAAGATGAGAGGGCTATGGGTCTCAGCATATCAACTGCCCCGAGCAAGTGTTGAAAAAATATTTAAATAAATGGATAATAATTTATATTTACTTCATGGCATTTAATGCTATAAGCTATAACTATAATGTTTACAATAATAATTAAATATTTAAGTATTTTAAATATGGATCTTGGTAGTGTTTCAGCTAAGGAAGTCTTTAAAATGTTGTTTTTAATAATTGATTTAAGACAACAGTGTGGTCCTCTAGATAGTAGTATACAATGCCTTAAAAAATGCCCCATTCATTTGGCTAAAACACGGTAGAATATTAAAGAGCCGCCTGCTACGGAGTGCTCTCCGCAGGGAGTCCTTTGCCTTGGATGCCTGTGGAGAGTCCGCATCCTTTCAGCTTAGCTGGCCAGGATCACAGAACTCTCACAGTGGCTCCCAGTGATGTAGGATCTCTGTGCAATTGAGGAAAATGGTCTAATGTTGGAGTTTATCCAAACTGCCAGCAGAGGGAACATCCTCTCTTCTGGACCTCAGTTATCTCAGCGAGTGACTACGTTGCACGATGTTTGGCTTTTCTGTAACTCTGTTCAAAGAAAACGTGTTGCCTCATGGCCAGCTTCTGGGACTGAAGAGTCTGTTAATTTAGAGGGTTACTTTGCAGTTTTTCTGACAATTAATGAATAGGTGCTACAAGCCCTCTAAAGGCATGTTTTTTCTATTTTCAGCCCTGGAAGAACAGGTACTTGCTGTGTTATTTCTCTTCTATCATTCCAATCATTCAATTGCTGAATACCACCTCCTTAGACAGGCCTTCGCTCACCACCCTTTCTAATTATATTATGTATTTGTTTGTTTACTTGTTTACTGTCAGCCTCGCCCTCTGGAACTACTGTGTCCAATACTGCAACCACTGGCCACATGAGGCTATGGAGCCCTTGACATGGGGCTCGTCCAACTGGAGGTGTGCTGCACGTGAAAAATACACACCACATTTCAAAGACTTGGTGTGAGAAAATGAATATGAAATACCTTACTGATAACTTTTTTTAATTTAATTTAATTTTATTATGTTATGTTAGTCACCATACATCAGTAGATGTAGTGTTCCACGATTCATTGTTTTCGTATAACACCCAGTGCTCCCATGCAGTACGTGCCCTCCTTAATACCCATCACCAGGCTAACTCACCCCCCCACCCCCTCCCCCTAGAACCCTCAGTTTGTTTCTCAGAGTCCATAGTCTCTCTTCGTCCGTCTCCCTCTTCGATTCCCACCCCTTCGTTTTTCCCTTCCTTCTCCTAATTGGGTGAGTTTTGTAGTATGTTAATACCTCGATGACATGGATAACCTTAACTTCCCTTTCTCCATCTGTAAAATGAGGGCATTTGACTACAGATTCCTTAAGGTGGCTTCCAGCACAATAATTGTCCAAGCTCCACTTAACAGAAGCCCCAAAAGGGAAATCTCTCCCCCAAGGCCATGCAGTAGGTACATTAGAAAATGTCTCCAAGCATCTGGTCTTTCAGGCTCATGCTCTTGCCCCTCCCTCAAGCCCTAAGGACAGCCAGGCTCTCCTTCCTCCACCTTCACCAGGGACATAAACTGGTGGGTAGGACTCCAGAGAGGACACTGCATCAGGTAGATGAAAAGCCTCAGTCCTCCCAAGTGGCTGGCCATGTTCACTCTGCTAATGGGTCTCCTGAGTCCAGGCTTGGCTGTGGGTATAAACAGGAGGATAATCTTTTCTGTCCAGACATCCTGGGCTTCCTCACACACAGCAAAGGGGCTTTCAGGGAAGAGTCTTAGCTAGAAGTGGCCGTGGAGAGATGCAATTTGCCTAAGCTCTATGTAGCAATAGTCGCTTAATGCCTTAGCTGGGGATTTGAGGAGCCTAGCAACTGTCTCTTTCTCCCAGCTCTCTGCAGTGCTCTGATGGGCCTAATCGTCAAACTTGTTGTGTTCTGTAGAGAGTCCCCAAAGATTTATTTTCTCTCTTCTTGTCATACCCTCTCTCTGCGTTAATGCATTTGTTTTGAACTCTTGGTTGTTCTGTCTTCTGGGAAGGGATTATGGAGCCTACAAGGAAGAAGCTGTGATCGGATATCACAGAACTTGAGCTTCATCTGCTCACCCAACCTTGATCATGCACTTGGAGATTTTTTTTTTTTTTAATTAACAGGGAGAAGGAAGAGACAAGGAGGAGCCAGCTGAGAAAATAGAAAAATAGCCAGCGAGGTATGATTGAGGCAGGTGTTTTGATGGAGGTGTATGCCTTTCTGAAACATCTGGGTAGCC